GATGGTCATCGAAGACAGATACTTGTATATACTTCTAAAATCAGTCGGTGTAAATGCAAGATAGAGATTTTGAAAATTTTGACGATAAAACTGGAGAGCACCTATCGCTCATATTATCGAAAAGAATATGATTCAGCACAAGATTAAATTGAAATTGCATTTGTTAAAATAAGAAGAATGGGCTCATCTGAATGAAATTTTGACGTCTTTCGCATAAACTAATTTAATATGCGGCTAGTTATGCAACTGGTGGTTAAAGGCTGATCATATTTGTGATGAAACTTTCAGGTTCACTGGGAACGGTCTGTACTTCTGCTACTTCGTTAAACTTATCGTTTTGTAGTTGTTGATACTTCAAGACCATCTTCTGATAGGCCGTTTTGCTGTTGGTCGTTCTCATCTGAGGTATCAGAGTGAATGATCGATACTCGATTAGGTGAGTATCCAGAAAAAATTGTCTAACGGTTTGGCTTCTCAGAATGATTTAGGCGATGTTGATTTCTGCGGAAAGATTCATATTCCTAGCCGCAAGCATGTACATCTCTAGCAGATGCTTATGTTGTGAGGTTGATCACTGTAGCCTTTATGACTTAAAGAACAACCTATACTTATGCCATCAACATGCATTCATGCACACTACGTTAATTTTTATGACTGAATGACATAATCGATTGTCGAAAGATTATTGACTTCACACAGTAACAAATATCATACTGTAAAGGAAAATAGGAATGCTTTCTCTGAAATAATTTGTGTCCTAATATGCCAATTTCAAAAAAGTGTTTGTCCGTATGCCAGTCACGACGCATAGAAAATATTCGCACGATAAGACTCTCTGGACATAATCACACGAAGGACGATCAAGGAGCAGATCCTCGACAAGATGGCTCTGCAAATAAGACTATCGTAATGGACCTAACGTGGTCTTACCGATTGGCAGGTGATGGAGACCATCGCCAAAGCTTTTTTGACACAAATCACCCCCCCCACCTGCCACAGAAGAACAGCGGACATTGAAAATTAGTGGATGAATGTCAACATATTTTTTTAATCAAAATCAACTCTTTTTAGAACTCTTTAAGAACACGCTCTATTCGTTGTTTCATCAACGCATATTTAGTTAGGTTCGTGGAAACAGTAGGCAGAACGGTGGTGTTAAGTAAAAAGCACCTTTCAGTTCACTGCTGTTGAAGGGGCAAGATATTATGGACCGACGGACTTTAACTGATTTTCAACGATTGAAACTAATTCACTGAACTGCTAGAATTACCTACTGCAGTTTTCTTATTGGCGTCTTAATTTCTGCATAAAGCTGGATACCCTGAATGAAGTGTATCATTAAATAAAAGAAAGTGAAAACCCCTAGGTCATTATTACATGATAACTTAGGTGTTTTACCTCGTAAGTTATGCTTCTACTGCCACAGCGTGGCAGATGGGTGACAAGGTGTTCTAAAGCGAATTACAGCTAAGTCTTTAGGCTGCGACAGGCTCAGCCAAGCCGTGAAAGCTTGAGACATACACCCGGCGAAGTGAAAGAGGTAACACTCGCTAACCTGCATGGCTAGCGTGGTGAGTTATGACTACTTCCTCCAAGATGAAATCATACCTACAACAACGGTCCTCGTTCCCCGGAGACTGGATTGACCCGGCAAAGACATAGGCTGGTTAAGCATGAAGGCATAGGACGCTAAGAATACTTGGGTTATGGACCAACCATTAATTAGCGCTGTCGTCGAGACGATGTCAAAAATGAAATCGATTTCATCCACCGTAACATGAAGAATGCAGGAAAGAATTCGCGGTGTTGAATAGGTTTGCAGGAAGCGATCACAGGCTGGTCAGATGCAGAGAGTGTCTGGACTCAACTTAAGAAAGAAGGAAATCGCTGAGGACAAGACACAAGATATTCGACTTGGAAATGCTAAGGAAGAACCTCCTACTATTTCAACTGAAATCAATTGATCGATTCAGCGTTCTTCAAAGAAGACAAGAAGAAGAAGCACGAGAAGCTCCGGATATTAGCCCGATGTATCAGGGTACAACGAAGGTAGTTATGTCAGAAAATATCTCTTGAACAAGGATTATGAAGGTGGATTGAAAAATCACGGAGCAAACAAATGAACTCGTGAAGAAGAGAAGAGAAATGGAGACGAGAACATATCAGAAATGAAAGATCAAATATGCAGAAATTTGGATACCTGAAGGAAATGAAGGAAAAAACACGTCTGAACGTTCAGCTACCAATTCGTAGAAGAAATTACTGAAGACAACAGAAGCATTATGAGATTCGACGATTAACTTTCTAGAAACGACAGATTTTGGCTCTGAATGCAGATGTGACGGGCACAAAAGATTCTTAAAAGAGTGGAAGATATCTACAAAAAACTGTACAAAAGTGAAAACAGCAACAGCCCAGCTGACGGTAAGGAATCCAACGATGCAAATGAAACAAACGAAATTCCAGATAACTTGCTAGAAGAACTGCACCATGCAATAAAACAGCAAAGAGAGCAGGGGCTTCTGACGAAGCTGACATTACAGTGGAACAAGCTTGCGAGCATCGACAAAGATATTGGTGCGCTTGTTTCAAGGTGTTTAAAGGAATTAAACATTTCAGGCGGTTGGATTACCGCATCGAGGGTTCTACTCCAGAAAAATGGATAAAGAATGGGTTTGAAGAACTAAAAGCAGATCCATATGGCCAATCGTCTACAAGATCTGTACAAAAATACTGACGAGCAGACTTCAAGAATAAGCGAATGCTGTGCAGCCAAAGGCGTTAAAAAAATTTACAAATGGATTTGGTATGATGGGTCATCTTCAGGTAGTAGAAAAGGTTATTTAAATTAGCAACGAATATTAGCTTCCTCCCTGCCGGGGGCTTGTCGATTTCGAGCGGTCTATCGACTCAATATACATTCTATCCTACACTGGATTCCTTAAGAAGCCAGGGAATCCAGAAAAGACACAGAGCCCTCACCGCTATGATATTTAAGAATGTACGTGCTAGTGTGCAGCATAGTTCAAAATTGTACAAAGTTCAAGTTCAAGACCAATTTCAAAATTGTAGAGGTAGTTCGATATGGAAAGGCAGTATCACTTAAGTTATTCACAGAATTTTTGAAGAGGTTTTCAAGGACTCCGTTCGAAAATCTGGAGTTGAACATAAATGAACAGTATTTAAATAACTTGCAGCTTGCCGGGCATCATTTTAATTTTCTCAGGCTACTACAAATACTCGATAAAATGATCCAAGAGCTAAAGAACGCCAGCATCAAAACAGATTTGACAATAAGCATGAAGTAGTCTAAAGCCTTGTTTAACAAATACGGAACCGCGCACCCGCGATCTGTTGAAGTCACCGGACATAGGGCTGATGAAGTGCAGAACTATCTGGGATGGCTGACTTTTCGAACGAAGAAACTATATGAAACCAACAGAAGAGTAATGGAGCACTTCAGGAAAATTGAAATCATTTATTCAAGAAATTTACCTTGCGCTTGAAACGGAAAGTATCTGACCGACGTGTGCTCCCAATGCTAACCTGTGGGTGCAAAGCATGGCACCTAAGTCTGAAAGCTATTCATGAACTGCAGATTACAAAACGTAGCATTGAAAGATATTTGTTTGGAATAACGAGAAAAGAGGAAAACGAATGAATGGATAACAGCACAAATAAGAGTCTGCAATGTCACTGCCATTTTAAAGAAGTTAAAGTGGCAATGGGCAGGGAACGCTGCGTGAAGAACCAAACTTCGATGGGTCAGAGAGACTTTAGACTGGGGTCCAAGAGAGAGTAAACGGCCCGTAGGAACGCCTTCAGATCGATGGCAGAATGAGCTGAGGAAATGTTCTGGATGAAGAGAGATAAAAGTGGCTGAAAACAGAAACGTATAGCGAAGTGTTGGAGAAGCCTTGATCCAGCAGTAGACTGGCAAAAGCTATTGATGATTATGATCTTCTGTCTTTAAATTATTTAAATTCATTTTAATTTCCTCATTAATAAAATCGAACATATTTGCGACAGACATCTGTCTCATCAGGAGAAGATAAATCTGCATTCTTCGTAAAGAAGAAAAGAATAACTGGCATTCACGGAAATAACTTCAGAAATTTCTGTATTCATTAGCCACTAATAAGATGAATCATTCAGAAATGTGATTTGTTGGCATAGAAATTCACAGAATGTCATAGTAAGTTTCTATTGAACCACTGAGTTCATTAACAGTAGTATTGCATTAAAATATTGAGGGATTTCCTGCAAACTTAACACAACATATCGAAAATTGGAACCAATTTTCTTGCCACTCTCAAACTTATTAAAGTTACTTTAGAAAACTGTGCCCTATAAGGCGCGCAAAGTTATAAGGCACCAGTCTGATATATAAGTATAAGATCATAGTCGTAGATTTGCCGTTTTTCACAGCTGAAGATCATCGACGCAGCCGAAATCGTGCAAGAGAAGGAAGGTGCTGACGGCTGCAGTTATTGGACAAAGACAGTGAAACGCTGAATATTACCTTTGGTAGCAGATTTTACAGTATATTTTCTCGTCTTTCAGGTAGCACGACGGTATTTGATCGAACGTCAAACCGCATAGGCAGCAACGAAGACAGTCGATGTGCCACGAATGGCTGTTAACCTGCAGCAAGTAGCGGTCGAATATGAAGCTGCTACATCCAAAGCACACTTCAGACGATATCTAGGAACACAGCGGCGTTTACTGAGAGCGGTTATGAAGTTAGCTGGTCTATTTTTTAGCTCTTAACATACACCAATCTACTTACTTTCATCATTTTGGCGATTCTTCAGCGTCAAACGCGCGCACGCCACTCGCACTGTCAGCCGCGTCGCGCGAGGAGGAGCTTTGAGGGCGGCATCAGGCGCGCCTCCAACCTTGCTCGTTCGTCAATAGCACGTTCTCTAATCTCGTTTACTCGCATACCGTATGCAAGCGACGGTGAATACGACGTCGGTAATTGGCTTCCAAATCAGCCGCTAATGCCAACTGCTGCGTGCGCCATCGAATCGGACAGTCAATGACCAGACCACTTGACGACAGAGCTCGACGTCCGTCTTATATGTATCGATCACGGCCATCTCATGCTCGTCGTTCTCCTCATCCGTCGACGAACTTGGTTGCCGCCGCATGTCTTCCAACTGCGATGGTTGTTTCAAACAGTTCTGCTCAATACGTCGTCGAACTGTGAAAGCCAGCGACAACCAAAGAAGATCCTTCAATCAAATTGCCATATAAAAGTCAACAGGCTAATTTTATATGGAGATTTACTTACAGTGATTTAAAAGGTCTGTCGATATTCTTTAAGGTAGATTTGTCTGTCAGAGTCATGTCTGTAGCCCGTCTGAACACCATGCGACGACTCCCGCTATAGTGAATGGAGTTGCACGAGCTTCGTTCACAAATAAGAGATTTATTTTCCAGATAGGAAATAGCTATTACGATAAAAGTGCTCTGCAATTATGATATAACTGATTAGATTTTGATAGTGATTAAAAAACGTTAGTGTTTTTGAATATTATAGCAATGATGCCATGACTACATGATTGCAGTTACAGTACATCTAACTTTTGATTCATTGTGGTTGCAGCTACTCTAGATAAAAAGCGTAACTTCGCTTTATTTTTCGTAACAACCCGACAAGTTTAAATGCTGAATTTAATTTTTGACATTCAACTTTCATAATCTTCATTTTGCTACTTAGTCAATCAAAAATTCATCCTATGTTGACTTAGCTTCGCCACAGTTTTAATATCTCTCATTTGAAGTCCGCATTTAAGTCATCTTCTTCACGTTTTTTTATCTAATGGAAGTCAAAATTTCTATAACAAGAAAGATGAAAGAATGAACAAATAGGAAAACGAATCATTTATGCTCAGGAGAAGGGAAAGGAGATAATTTACTGCGTTAAGACAAGAAATTGAAGCGATAATCACTGCTCCTATTGATTAGTAATTTTAATGTTTTCCTTCTCATATGGCTCCCTCCCATGAAGATTTCGCTTCGTAGACAGTTTTTATTATTGCTTTCTGTCGAACTCTGTCGTTGCGTAGAGTCAAGTTATTTGCATATCGTGACTTAAACATTCATTTAACATTCAATTTTGATTTACCATAAACTGTCAGTCACAAAATCTGTTAGTCCATTATGGGCAGTGTTAACTATTCAACAATCCTTCGGCTTTCTCTTTGCCAACAGTCCGTGAATTAAGAGACCTTTATTATCATTACAAATTCGGCATGAGCCTCTGCGAAAAAATCTTCGTAAGGTGTCTCAATCCATTTCCCAATGATGCATACTACCGCATAAACGCTTGTTCATACATTGGTATAAGTGGGATAACGCCTAACTCCTTGAAGACCAGATTTTCTGGTGCACCGCACCACCCGCTTGTTTCAAGTAGCCTGAGGACGATATTTTAGCAGGCCACGGTTCCATGATACCATCTTTTGAAACAAGTAATGAGCGCGAGGTGGCTCTGGCGAATAAAATGATGTGAGGTGCATCCAGTACTGCAGCTACTCAAATACTCGCTCCATCTGCACCAAAGTATATCCACGCTAATTTAGCAAGCTTCTTGATCCGTGTAATCATCCACCTGTACTGTTTGCTGCTTTTTGAAACCCGTGTAATATCTTCTTCTTGTAGCATACCCTGCTCATTACCAGTACGATTTTTCCGTTTGCAACGTTATCGAAGACTGATGAACGTGTTCTCATCCATTCGACCATCCTTTAGCTTTTTCTTGCTCTTTACGTGCACCTTTCGCGGTTGCGCTGTTCATTCGTAGTTCTGAGAAGTCTTACAACTTACGATCCTTGTTTCTCATCCTTACGTTGGCAGTAGAAATATGCACTGACTGAATCCTTTCTGTTTCAAGCAAAAAGGCAATATTCAAGATAAAAATACCTTCAGTCTCCATTTTCACTTTATTTTCTCAGAGTTAGCTTCCTGTTGCAGAGGTGAGTTAGACATAGTTTTGCATATCTTCAAGTGTTTGCAGTTAGGTAAAGTGACAAAATAAAACCGATATGTCCTGTGACAGCATTCACTGTTAGGTAGAGATTATTTATTTTTTACTCCCTGATTTGCTCACTCCATAGATAGTCTAGAATTAATGTGAATTAATTAGACGGTGTTAAATCAATGTATCAATTGCTTTCTTCGATTTTGAATTTGCTTTCGTTTTGTCCTCTATACAAGAAATTCCTGCAAGTGACGGGAATGAAATCCCTAGATGTTTTTGCGCTTTTGTGGCTGCTTAGATTATCGGGTGCAGGCTGTATGGAAAGCTGTCCAGAAATCGATGATTCACCGGAGAAGAAAAGTTGATATTCTTTTTTGTCTAGCTACTTAATATACCGCCTTAAGATGATCCGTCATACTGGACATACTTTTGAACCTCGCTTGTTCCCTTGGGTGTTCCTTCAGAGTCCTGCGTTTCTTATTCTGTCCATTCTGCTTGGAACACCGTGATCTCGTAGATAACTGGCAACGAACTGGGTGCCTAATGAAGGGAAACAGACGGTTATACTTGTTTACTAGACCGGTAAACAGATTAATTGAAAGAAAGAGAAAGAAATCTGTTTAAATTTGTGCTGATTACTGAAGTTGATAGTCAGCCATCAGGTGGATCAAGGCGAAGTGCATTCACGAGGGACACAGGCATCAGACAGCACAGCTGTTCAATTCGCTTGATCTGCCATGACCAAGCAAGAATTCTATGCCGTCTCGCAAATCGTCGACTTACGATCCATTTCTCGGTTGGTTTCGTCGAAACAAGGTGGGGATAATTCCTTTTTTAGGGAATTCACGGTTAAGACAAAGACTGTCACGTAAGCAGATTTGAACCGGTACTTCTGGAGTTCAAAGAAATTCCAAATTTTCTCAAATGCAGTAAGAATTATAACAATTATCTCTGTTTATTTCCTTGAGCAATAAATTTATCATACTGTGCTTTGGTAAATTCAACCAAAGTAATGGCAATAGATTGCTTATATCTTGGGAGAAAATGGAACAGCACCATGTCTTGGTGTGACTGCGGTAGTGCTCAAAAGATTTACTAACATATTTTTCGATGTGCACAAAGAGTGATTGCGATATGTTTGGATCTCTTTAATAGTTGCTTACGGTAAAGTCTGATCTGCACAAGGTTAAATCCATAAATTAAAATTGTCAACGCAGTAAATCCCATCAATACGATTTGGTCTTAAAATCTTGGTTGAGGACACCAAACAACACTAACATTAAGAAATTTATGGTAGTTTGATTTCGCTACCACGCTGTGAGCTAGTGCTCTTGAAAAATAGTCGAAAATCAGTCACTCTGCATGTTCATGAAGCTACAGCTACTCTGTGTTGTTTGTGAATACAGCTAATTATAAAAAATATATGCCAGGAGGCAGATGTTTTAAAGGTAGGAACCTAAGCACAGAAAGTTCAAAGTAAAATTTCAATACTACAGTTACGGAATTTACACAGAACGTTTAGATGGCTTGCAGTCTAGAAAACTTCTTCTGTAGCAAACTGCATATGAAACATATAGTAATACGGTTGAACTCCAGGCAGATCAGAAAAGCATATTCTCAAGACATTCTAAGTAATAATACGGGAAGTCGTTTTTGACTACAGACAGTTTTCATATTGCAGCGAAAGGAAGTTTAAAAAAATACAAAACATAACGCCAATGGTCCAGAGTAGTTAAGAATAACGACAGCGTTTCGAAGCCGCCGCTGGCAAGTATTAGGTTTCAACTACTGATACCGGACTTACAAGAAGAAAACTGTAAAGTAAAGTAACTCTTCTCGTAAGTCTTCTCCTGAGCTGCAACATGTTCCAAGAAACCGATATTCTCGTAAGTGTAAAGTGAAATGGGTATTGTGGAAAATGAGAAATTTAATCGACTTACTTTCATTAGTTTCGCCTGTTGAGTAGGAAACAGTCAACGTAGGTCTAAATGCAAGGTGCAAACCAAACTAAAACGTTTTCAGTTACTCCAGAAGGCATTTGCCAGCAAATTACTTTCTCTCAGCATTCAAGTCGGCAGAGCCAAACAGTATGAAGTCCGCGGGGTTTTATGACTCAAAACCACATAGCTGCGTCTGACAACAGTGACTTTAAAAAACGAGCTACTCTACACCTACAAAGACCTCTGGCTTTGAATTGAAATTTATGTAGCGGATTATCGTACAACGATCCAATTGCTGGTACTATCTTATATGAGGCAATTTAAATTTTTCTTTCAATCTGATTGACAATGCACGGACAAAATCCGTGCAGTTCCTTCTTGTATGTCTAATATTAAGATCTATCTTATCCATGGCATTCCTTGCGCTACTCAGTATGTGCTTAGTGCTCATGCTTTCGCAATTAACTTTAGTCATGTTCTTGCCTCTGCTATAGCTGATTCTAGGACAGGTGAGAACTGAGAATTGGCTTTTCCAATTAGCATTTGATTATAAACGTATTGTTGAGTCGTGCTGCCTGCTGTCTTTGATAATTTACTTCACATACAGTTTAGTGGCATATGAAGACATCCGAACATTCTTCAAAGCAAGTTACCACGCAATCTTTAAAGCACAACGCTTGAAACAATCACAATCACGTAAAAGGTGCGAAATGTTTAGTTGTATCCAGAGTAACACATGAGAAAGTTTTAATGCCACAGAGTGTATGATGACAAATCGAAATATTCCAAAGGTCGTGTCTGACAAGTTCGGCTAGAAAATCTAAAATTTATTTAAGTAGTTCTTCTGAAGTATAAATTAATTCTGGAAAAACATAAACGAGTATTTTATCCGGTTGGGTGCCACTCACCATTACATTTTCATGACCTTACTTTTGGCGTTTTTAACCTAACTCCTGGCGCAGTTTTAATCACTGTTTTATCAATTTATCTATGTAGACATCATCTGCAGCAGTGTTACAAGGATACGGTGTACGTTCTGCTTCCTTTCCGCATACAATGGTGATGGTTTATCCGCAATGCGAGGGAAGAAAGCTGCTGACCTTATTTGGATTCGAATAGAAACTTTTAGATAATGAATCTGGCGCCTAATTCACTGAACCAATACAAGGTCTCTTCACTCGTTAGTTTATCATCATAAGCTGACACAGAGAAGAAACTAAAATCCATGTAATGCATGTCACAGCTTTTCCGCAATGCAGCATGTAAATGTTCAACGTGGAGTATACCCATGAGCGAATTTTGCCAACTCTAAACGTCTGGCAAAGGTTGCGTCTTACTGTGGATCGATATTCAGCTCATTGATCGATCGATGAGTCGTTCCGAATGAGCACTAATTGCGTGGCGTATTATGGTCGAGAATCGCTGCACGAGAGGTTAACACAAAACACCGCTGATTGCGTGAAAGGCTGCATGATTCGATTATGAGGCTCCGTGCCTCAAATCACATCGTCGAAGGCGACGGCCTGCACGAGGGAGATGCTCAGCGGAGAACGGTAAGGTTGGGAACGCCGTGTAGCAGAAGGGGTAATGCTTGAAGAAGCCGTTAAGCTACTTGGGAATGTTTGCCGATTCATCCAGAATTGCTCAACATGCTGGCATCGTTACCCAAGGAATGAATGAAGCTAACTTTCTGCTAAACGATCGATCATGATTTGCTGACGAATCGAGAAACTGAACACAAGCAGCGTTTGAAACTAGCTATCCTAAACTCTCATTTATTCTCAGCTGAGATCGCTAGCTTCAACTATGATTAGATGGACTTCAGGTTGGTAAATCGAAATTCTA